GATTTTAGTTTGGGTGTTTTGGATATCACTTTGGGTCATATGATATACTTTTGTTGAAGGAAAGATATTCTTAATCCATCCTTGATAAAAAATCAGGGATACACTTAGTGTTGTCTATTTTAAACTAATAAAGCGAGCAATTTAATCAACACTCAGGGGTACTGAAGACGAACTCAACCATACGACGAGCAACTGGGTCGAGCTTTATCGACACATCCTTCGACAAATAATATACTGATGAAGAAGCATATGGGTTCTTCTTCGACCTCTCGAACTCTGGGGTCTTTAGTGTTGCAAGCCATTCCTCAGGTGTGTAGCTGTACAGACGGTCTCTCTCCTCGTCATTCATATTCCTCTCATGCATGATAATCACATCTGGACTCCTCTCAGCGCTCTTACAAGCCGCTTCTACCAACTCCTCGTCTGTAGGCAACATTCCCATCTCTGCAAGTTGAGAGAACGACTCCACCACATCTGTAGGTGGGTCTTCTTCCTCGACATTAGCAACGCTAGTAGCCTCATGAGCTATCTGCAAAATATCCTCAAAAGAGGTATCTGGGACTGTATAGTGTATCACCATAGGGACTATCGGCTCAAACACCTCCTCGTCCGGTGTCTCTACAGTCTTCTCAGCTTCATTCTCCACCACCTCAAATCTATTCTTCTCTTCAGGATCTTCTTCACATTTCTCTCCCGTTGTCTCCACTTGTGGCTCGACCTGGTCCTTCTCTAGAGGCTGCTCATCCATTTCCATTTTAGCTTCAATATTCTCCACTTGGTCTTCCACCACCTCTGTTTTAAGCTGCTCTAGCACCTCCTCAACAGTATTCTCCAAAGGTCTCCTCCTGGAATCCACGACCTTGAACCTATCATGCTCTCCCCTCTTTTCTGTCATATGTCCCAGTTTTGTTGCAAAGTCCAGCAATTTTCCTATATGTCGGTCAATCCCAGCACCTAGTACCTTAAGCTGGAAGACAAACGAACATTTTGTGCAAATTAAAAACTATATCCAAACTGCTCGTACAATTATCCCATGTACCTAGACTAGTATCAGAAGAGAGCGTACAAATATTCAAGTTGGCAGAATTGATATCCAAAAATAGCAAACATTGATTTCACATAAATATCCAAATGCATAAAATTAATATCCAAACCTCACAAACCAGTATTCATAACTGAAAAGAAACCACTAGCTGATATCCAAATGAAACCAACAAATATTCCAGAACAACAAACTAAAATCCTACTAATATCCAAAGCCATTCCAACATGGCATCAAATTCACGGAAAATAGTACAACCCCCCACCAAACAACGGAAAACAGTAGATCAAATTCACTCTTGCTGTTCCAAATTCCGGACAATCGTTTGGACCTTGTCCCTTCGAGCCACCCACTTTTCAATCATGCTCTCAGTCATTTCCTTCAATCCCTTAAACTACACATATGTTGTGAAATATTTAGGTTACTATATCGTCCAAGTCTACCAATGCACGATCTTAGTTAGGGAGGAAGAAAACATTTTACATGCCCTAGCAGAAGGCTAGTCAAATCTTCAGTCTCCCACCAGTCCGCGGTGGGCAACGGTGCACGATCTGGAGGAGGAGCTAAACTGCTCGCAGTTGCTGCACTAGTACAACCAATAGCCGCCGGCTGGAGCTGCCTGCGAGAGGCGATTTCTTCCCTACTCAGCAGAGCGGCAGCTAGGTCATATCTTCCCTTGACTAAGGGGATAGATGTGCTTGCCCTCTCGACACTTTGCTTCCACCAAAACCGGCAGCTCGGTATGGTATTTGTGTGCAACCCGCCTAGTTTTACAAAGTCCAGCAGATGGAGCTGTAAAAAAAAATTACAATTAATAAATGTTAAGCTACATTTCTAGCAATTTAATCAACAAATATCCAGAGTCAACACAAACAGTATCTTATGTGACTAAACTGATATCCAGAAATCATTTAAAGCTAATTTCTTACAAAACAAAGAGTATCCGAGTTCAGATAGATGATACCCAAATACGAAATTCACTAGTTTTCATGCAATTGAACCAACAATTATAGAAAAGGTTAGGACTTACTATCAATAAGTAGCAATCTCCGAGAACCCACACGCACGGCGAGCCCGACGCCTTTGCACTAAGTCCTTTTATCTTGGCAACAGTCAACTCTACTTTCCGTTCACGGACAATAAATGTACACCAATCGTACACCCTCACGTCCTCAACACTCCCACCTAGGTATGGGGCAAAGTCCAGCTTGCACCTTCGAGAAAATGTTGGCACGAGCATCGAACTAGTAGCTAGCAAAAAGAATTGCTTGACAACAATTGCAACAGGTGGTCTAGGACCGTTGGCTGGAATGGCCAACTCCCGCAGCTTCTTGATAGGAACCATGCGAGCCCTGTTAGGAATAATGCCAACTTCCTCGCTGAAACTGTCGAGCATCCCCCCTCAACGTTCTTCAAATCAATCACAGCCCCACCGAGAGGAAGGTCGTACACACGTGCCACATTCTCAGCTGTGAAGTCGAAGACCTTCTTCGAGTCTCCTTCTCCAAAAACAAAAGTACTGGATGAGGAGTCATAAGCAGCCATCAAGTCGTCCATGACGACATTGGATATCTTCGGCATGCGAAGGTCCAATAGGCCCCCGAATCCTGCCTTCTCGACTTCTTTCTTGCATGCTGCATAGTATCCAACATCTTGTTTCTAGTAGTTTATAATTTTGAAGAGGGAATAGGTGGAGCCACGAAATCTGAAATATGAGCCGCAGGGACCCTCTCCCTCATCTTCCTCCTCAACTTCTGGAATAGCAGGCGGCGGCTGCCTTGATCCTTCTCCTTGACGAGATCTCGATGCAACCATTTTCGTTCTTTTCATCCCGGGTTGTTTCTGAAACACAGTTATATATTAAGCAAAATATCCATAATCCTTGGACAAATAACTAAAACGCACACTTATATACAATTATTATCGTAGTAAAGCAAAATTGTATCCAAACGAAGATAACTGATATCCATGAAAAAAATATCCATAATACCCAGAAAAATAACTAAAACGAACAGTTAAGTATCCACACTAACAGAACTGATATCCACACATCAGACACATTAGATTATTTTTTTAGCCAATACATACAATTATTATCGTAGTAAAGCAAAAGTGTATCCAAACGGAGATAACTGATATCCATGAAAAAAATGTCCATAATATCCAGAAAAATAACTAAAACGAACAGTTAAGTATCCACCTTAACAGAACTGATATCCACACATCAGACACATCAGATTATTTTTTTAGCCAATATAACTAATCGAGAAACGAAGTGAGAAATCAAACCTTTGGTGGTTGTTCATCCGGCGGCTGCTGTGATGATCCAGCTGCTTCACGAGATTTCGCTTCAGATTTTGGTGCAACAGTTTTGGATTTCTTCCTCACGGGTTGTTCCTGAAACATAGTTAGATATTAAGAAAACTATCCAGCGAAGGAAAATATTAAAATGCATCGGACTAGTAATTTTTAGCCAACATAACCAATCGAGAAACGAAGTAAGAAATGAAACCTGTGGTTGTTGTTCATCCGGTGGCTGCTTTGATGATCCTTCTCCCTCATTGTTGGGCTTTGAGTTCTTTTTCGGTCTCCCCATTCACTGAAACAATATAAAAAATGACCAGAATAAGTATCAGAAGTGACAAAACTGATATCCATGTAACCTTTAATCAAGGAATCGACAAACGATACCCAGATTCAACAAAATCGTATCCAACAAACCCCCCAAAATGGAATTCGAGAAACCATAATGAAACAATATATAAAATGACCAGAATAAGTATCGGAAGTGACAAAACTGATATCCATGTAACCTTTAATCAAGGAATCAACAAACAATACCTAGATTCCCCAAAATCGTATCCAACAAACCCCCAAAATGGAATTCGAGAAACCATAAATCTGGTAACTAGAAGAAAAAAACCAGAGCTCCAAAATTCGAATCCACAAACCCAGAATCTGGTAATCTACAAACAAAACCCTAAACACCCATATTCGAATCCATGAAACCCTAAATCTACAAATCGAGAAACGAAACCCTAAACCCCCAAATTCGAATCCCACGGACACAAAATCTGGTAATCTAGAATCAAAACCCTAAACACCCTAAATCGAATCACATGAACCATAAATTTTCAAATCCATAAACAAAACCCAGATTTCCACAAAAAAAAAATCCATGAAACCCTAACTTACTATCCACAAACAAAATGAACAATAAAGAGAGGAGAAGTCTTCTACCTCAACGTCTTCTTCTACCTCCCACTATCGGCGGCTACAGCGACGACCTTCTTCGTCGGCCAAGTCGGCGGCGTCTTCTTCTTCATTCTTCGTCGGTGGCGTCTTCTTCCTCGTCGGTCGGGATAGCTTCAACGTCGTCGTCGGCGGGAGATCCAACAAGCCGTCGCCGACCTTGCAGCCGTCGTCGCTGTTGGTGTTGGTTTTCGGGAGAAGAAGAAACAGAGAGGGAGAGGGTTCGAAAGTTGGAGAGAGAGGGGAGAATGGCTGACGCGGGTTGAGCTCGGGTTTTGGGTTTGAAATTTTGGATTTTTTTTTTTTTAATTTCTGGCCCCACTTCTCCCAAAAGTGGCTCGGCTTGCCCAAAAAAATCTTCCCCTCACATCACAGCGCCGGTGATCCCTCACCCTCCGATGGTAGCTCGGCGACGTGGATCATCATCCCACCCTGTTAGTATCTGCTAACCACTTAAAGGGTTAGCAGAATAACGCTATTGGGTCGGCGGAGAAGAAACGGAAGAGAAGTCTGAAAAGTTGCAGAAGAAGGAAACAAAGTGGTAGCTGGTGGGGCTTTGAGACGTACACTTGGAAACGGTCCGGTTTAACTGGACCGGTTCGATGCGGGGTTTTACGCATCGCTGCGACTGCGAGTGGAGTTGAATTCTGTTTCATTTTATTTACTCGACTTCCAAGCGCCATGGCAATAACCGAATCAATGGATTCTCCGTCTTCCCCTTCTCCGACCGCCTCCAATTTCAGGTTTTCTTCCATTTCCTTCTCCGATTCTCATCCCTCGTTCCTGTTTCAAATTCCACTTCAATGAAGTCACTAACCCTTTCGGCAGTGGCGGCCAACAACAGCGTCACTTCTATCTTGCCGTCGACCGACTTCAGTTCAAGATGGTACGCCTAGTTTTCCCGCAGCTCGTCTCAATTGCCTGAATAATTCTAAAATTTCACTCGCCTTAATGGAAACCCTTTGAATTGTCCGAGCAGGAGATGCTGGTAGATTTGCTAGGTGTAGCCGGCCGCCGCTCTGGAATTCCAATGGCGGTTTGCTGCAGCTCGAGGGACGAACTCGATGCTGTATGCTCTGCAGTCTCCAACCTCCCTGACATCTCTCTTGCGTCTCTGGTACCCACTGCTCATTTCCTTAATTCCCCGTGCAAGTGCTACCACTGGCTTTGAGAATGTCGATTTAGCTTGAATTTGAGTTACAATGGTTTAAAAACATCTGTTGTAAACCATGGCCAGTACAGCGACCTAGCTGAGTCAGAAAGAACCCTAGTCTTGGAGACATTTAGGCAAGCGACCATCAAATGGGCTGAGAGTGCTATGACTAGTGTTCAGTTCGGGGACGATGGTGAGAATCAGAACAATGAGAACAAGTCCCAGATGATAGTTGTAACGGATGCTTGCCTTCCGGGAGTTCTCAGTGGCGAATCATCTATCGCTGCTCGTATCCTGATCAACTACGAGCTACCAACGAAGAAGGTATTTTTCTCCTGATGAGCTACCAATCGTTGCTGTTCGTGTAAACGGTGTAAAGCCTATCTCTGTCGACTGAAGATCATGTGCATTGCATCATCTATTAGCGATGGGTTTTCTTTTTGCCTCCAGTTGGCATATCCATTTGATTTGCATGACTGTTTTTCTAGAATCAGACAAAGCGAATGAAACGCAATTAAGCCTCTTCTAGCTTGATTTCTGCCTTTACCCTTTCTCTTTTGTCATTGTGTGAGAATAATAGTGGATCGCTAGTTCTTGAAGCAATTGTTATCCGAGCAAATGATCAACCTTGTTTCCTGTACATGTGGCAGCCGTTATGCAACTTCTGCTTACTTTGGTTGCCGGTAGAACAATGTGATATTTGCTCGTATCTGTTAGCATAAAAAACCAAATGATCTTCATCAGATTTCTTATCATGGTTTCTACTTACATGCAGGAAATGTACATGAGACGAGTGAGCACATGTTAGCTGCAGGTTTGTTTTCTTTGGGATGTTGCGGCAGCTTTTCAACATTACATGAAGGTCTTTTTTCTAACGCCACGCTTACGCGCTCTATCTGCAGATGGGATTGTTATCAACGTGGTTGCCGGTGGGGAAGTTGTGACCTTGAAGAATGTGGAGGAAAGTTGTGGCCTACTCATTGCTGAAATGCCTATAAATGTAAGCTGTGTCCTGCATTACTTTGAACCACTTATGGAACAAATCCTTCTCAGGAATAGTACACTGAAGTTTGGTATTTAGATGTCTTTCTTTATGACTGAAATTCAATGTCCCCGGATGATGCAGGTTTCTGAGATACTGTGAGTATGCAATTTTCATCTTCAACGAGGGAGGGTAAGCAGTAGCAACATCGACAAGAGGATTTTGAACTGCTGGATTCCTTCCGACAGTTGAAGGAAGAAGAGAACGCAAGCTCCTCTTCCCTTCATTTATATTCGCATGAGCAGTTAGTAGTTGCAAAAGCTGCTTCAAACTTTAATTAGCTAAAGGGTTAGTGTTTGAGCCGACAGTCCCTATGGTGATACACTATACAGTCCCAACTACCTCTTTTGAGGACATTTTGCAGATAGCTCATGAGACTACTAGCGCTGCTAATGCCGAGGAAGAAGACCCGCCTACAGATGTGGTGGAGTCGTTCTCTCAACTTGCAGAGATGGGAATGTTGCCTACAGACGAGGAGTTGGTAGAAGCGGCTTGTAAGAGCGCTGAGAGGAGTCCAGATGTGATTATCACGCATGAGAGGAATATGACTGACGAGGAGACAGACCGTCTGTACAGCTACACACCTGAGGAATGGCTTGCAACACTAAAGACCCCAGAGTTCGAGAGATCAAAGAAGAACTCATATGCTTCTTCATCGTTATATTATTTGTCGAAGGATGTGTCGACAAAGCTCGACCCAGTTGCTCGTCGTATGGTTGAGTTCGTCTTCAGTAACCCTGAGGGTAAGGGCTTGGTGGTGCACACTCCTTCAGTTAAACTCGCCCGTCTTCATCTGTTGACATTGAAGCGATTAGAGTAGGTCAATCTACAAGTGGTTAAGGCTTATGGTAATTTCTTGAACGATAAAGCACTTGCTGGTGACAAGAACAGAGTTATCTTTCCGTTCACTTTTGGTGTAAGTAGGTTCTTCACTCACACCTTACAATTTTTAGATATTCAGTAACTAATTAGCTATTATTTTACTTTGCAAACAGCAACTTGCCCTACTTAATTCTCAGACGAATGTGCCCCATCCAAGGAGAACCTCGATGCGGTCATTGAACTGACCCAACGGTTTCCAGTCTTCAAACATGTTGTATGGGACAAAGTAGAATATGTAAGTGAATCCTTATTCTATCTCGATACGTATCAAGATAGAATAAGCATTCACTTACATATTCTAATTTGTCCCATACAACATGTTTGAAGACTTGAACCCGCTGGGTCAGTTCAATGACCGCATTGAGTCTATCCATGGACGGGGGCACATTCGTCTGAGAATTAAGTATGGCAAGTTGCTGTTTGCAAAGGAAAATAATAGATAATTAGTTACTGGATATCTAAAAATTGTAAGGTGTGAGTGAAGAGCCTACTTATACCAAAAGTGAACGGAAAGATAACTCTGTTCTTGTCACCAGCAAGTGCTTTATCGTTCAAGAAATTACAATAAGCCTCAACCACTTGTAGATTGACCCACTCTAATCGCTTCAATGTCAACAGATGAAGACGGGCGAGTTTAACTGAAGGAGTGTGCACCACCAAGCCCTTACCCTCAGGGTTACTGAAGACGAACTCAACCATACGACGAGCAACTGGGTCGAGCTTTGTCCACACATCCTTCGATTTATAATATAACGATGAAGAAGCATATGGGTTCTTCTTCGATCTCTCGAACTCTGGGGTCTTTAGTGTTGCAAGCCATTCCTCAGGTGTGTAGCTGTACAGACGGTCTGTCTCCTCGTCAGTCATATTCCTCTCATGCGTGATAATCACATCTGGACTCCTCTCAGCACTCTTACAAGCCGCTTCTACCAACTCCTCGTATGTAGGCAACATTCCCATCTCTGCAAGTTGAGAGAACGACTCCACCACATCTGTAGGTGGGTCTTCTTCCTCGGCATTAGCAGCGCTAGTAGCCTCATGAGCTATCTGCAAAATGTCCTCAAAAGAGGTATCTGGGACTGTATAGTGTATCACCATAGGGACTGTCGGCTCAAACACCTCCTCGTCCGGTGTCTCTACAGTCTTCTCAGCTTCATTCTCCACCACCTCAAATTTATTCTTCTCTTCAGGATCTTCACATTTCTCTCCAGTTGTCTCCACTTGTGGCTCGACCTGGTCCTTCTCTAGAGGCTGCTCATCCATTTCCATTTTAGCTTCAATATTCTCCACTTGGTCTTCCACAACCTCTGTTTTAAGCTGCTCTAGCACCTCCTCAACAGTATTCTCCAAATGTCTCCTCCTGGAATCCACGACCTTGAACCTGTCATGCTCTTCCCTCTTTTCTATCATATGTCCCAGTTTTGTTGCAAAGTCCAACAATTTTCCCATATGCCGGTCAATCCCAGGCACCTAGTACCTTAAGCTGGAAGACAAACGAACATTTTGCGCAAATTAAAAACTATATCCAAACTGCTCGTACAATTATCCCATGTACCCAGACTAGTATCAGAAGAGAGCGTACAAATATTCAAGTTGGCAGAATTGATATCCAAAAATAACAAACATTGATTTCACAGAAATATCCAAATGCATAAAATTAATATCCAAACCTCACAAACCAGTATTCATAACTGAAAAGGAAACCACAAGCTGATATCCAAATGAAACCAACAAATATTCAAGAACAACAAACTAAAATCCGACTAATATCCAAAGCCATTCCAACATGGCAACGGTGCACGATCTGGAGGAAGGAGCTAAACTGCTCGCAGTTGCTGCACTAGTACACCCAATAGCCGCCGACTGGAGCTGCCTGCGAGAGGCGATTTCTTCCCTACTCAGCAGAGCGGCAGCTAGGTCATATCTTCCCCTGACTAAGGGGATAGATAGTGCTTGCCCTCTCGACACTTTGCTTCCACCAAAACCGGCAGCTAGGTATGGTCTTTGTGTGCAACCCGCCTAGTTTTAGAGAGGTCCAGCAGATGGAGCTGTAAAAAAAAATTACAATTAATAAATGTTAAGCTCCATTTCTAGCAATTTAATCAACAAATATCAAGAGTCAACACAAACAGTATCTTATGTGACTAAACGGATATCCAGAAATCATTTCAAGCTAATTTCTTACAAAACAAAGAGTATCCGAGTTCTGTTAGATGATACCCAAATACGAAATTCACTAGTTTTCATGCAATTGAACCAACAATTATAGAAAAGGTTAGGACTTACTATCAAGAAGTAGCAATCTCCGAGAACCACACGCACGGCGAGCCCAACGCCTTTGCACTATGTTCTTTTTTCTTGGCAACAGTCAACTCTACTTTCAGTTCACGGACAATAAATGTACACCAATCGTACACCCTCACGTCCTCAACACTCCCACCTAGGTATGGAGCAAAGTCCAGCTTGCACCTCCGAGAAAATGTTGGCAAGAGTATCGAACCAGTAGCTAGCAACAAAAATTGCTTGACAGCAATTGCAACAGGTGGTCTAGGACTGTTGGCTGGAATGGCCAACTCCCGCAGCTTCTTGATAGGAACCATGCGAGCCTTGTTAGGAATCATGCCAACTTCCTCGCTGAAACTATCGAGCATCCCCCCTCAACGTTCTTCAAATCAATCACAGCCCCACCAAGAGGAAGGTCGTACACACGTGCCACATCCTCAGCTGTGAAGTCGAAGACCTTCTTCGAGTCTCCTTCCCCAAAAACAAAATAACTGGATGAGGAGTCATAAGCAGCCATCAAGTCGTCCATGAAGACATTGGGTATCTTCGGCATGCGAAGGTCCAATAGGCCTCCGAATCCTGCCGTCTCGACTTCTTTCTTGCATGCTGCATAGTATCCAACATCTTGTTTCAAGTAGTTTATGATTTTGAAGAGGGAATAGGTGGAGCCACGAAATCTGAAATATGAGCCGCAGGGACCCTCTCCCTCATCATCTTCTTCCTCATCTTCCTCCTCAACTTCTGGAATAGCAGGCGGCGGCGGCTGCCTTGATCCTTCTCCTTGACGAGATCTTGATGCAACCATTTTCGTTCTCTTCATCCCGGGTTGTTCCTGAAACACAGTTATATATTTAGAAAAATATCCATAATCTTTGGACAAATAACTAAAATGCACACTTATATACAATTATTATCGTAGTAAAGCAAAATTGTATCCAAACGAAGATAACTGATATCCCTGAAAAAAATATCCATAATACTCAGAAAAATAACTAAAACGAACAGTTAAGTATCCACACTAACAGAACTGATATCCACACATCAGACACATTAGATTATTTTTTTAGCCAATACATACAATTATTATCGTAGTAAAGCAAAAGTGTATCCAAACCGAGATAACTGATATCCATGAAAAAAATATCCATAATACCCAGAAAAATAACTAAAACCAACGGTTAAGTATCCACCTTAACAGAACTGATATCCACACATCAGACACATCAGATTATTTTTTTAGCCAATATAACTAATCGAGAAACGAAGTGAGAAATCAAACCTTTGGTGGTTGTTCATCCGGCGGCTGCTGTGATGATCCAGTTGCTTCACGAGATTTCGCTGCAGATTTTGGTGCAACAGTTTTGGATTTCTTCCTCACGGGTTGTTCCTGAAACATAGTTAGATATTAAGAAAACTATCCAGCCAAGGAAAATATTAAAATGCATCGGACTAGTAATTTTTAGCCAACATAACCAATCGAGAAACGGAGTGAGAAATGAAACCTGTGGTTGTTGTTCATCCGGTGGCTGCTTTGTTGATCCTTCTCCCTCATTGTTGGGCTTTGAGTTCTTTTTCGGTCTCCCCATTCACTGAAACAATATAAAAAATGACCAGAATAAGTATCAGAAGTGACAAAACTGATATCCATGTAAACCTTAATCAAGGAATCGACAAACGATACCCAGATTCAACAAAATCGTATCCCACAAACCCCCGAAATGGAATTCGAGAAACCATAATGAAACAATATACAAAATGACCAGAATAAGTATCGGAAGTGACAAACTGATATCCATGTAACCTTTAATCAAGGAATCAACAAACAATACCTAGATTCCCCAAAATCGTATCCAACAAACCCCCAAAATGGAATTCGAGAAACCATAAATCTGGTAACTAGAAAAAAAAATCAGAGCCCCAAAATTCGAATCCCACAGACCCAAAATCTGGTAATTTACAAATAAAACCCTAAACACCCATATTCTAATCCATGAAACCCTAAATCTACAAATCAAGAAACGACACCCTAGACGCCCCAAATTCGAATCCTTAAACCCCCAAATTCGAATCCCACGGACACAAATCTGGTAATCTAGAATCAAAACCCTAAACACCCTAAATCGAATCGCATGAACCATAAATTTTCAAATCCATAAACAAAACCCAGATTTCCACAAAAAAAATCCATGAAACCCTAACTTACTATCCACAAACAAAATGAACAATAAAGAGAGGAGTAGTCTTCTACCTCAACGTATTTTTCTACCTCCCACTATCCAATAGCGTTAACAGGGTGGGATGGTAGTCCACGTCGGAGGGTGTGAGATCACCGGCGCTGTGATGTGAGGGGGGGGGGAGATTTTTTTGGGCAAGCCGAGCCACTTTTGGGAGAAGTGGGGCCAGAAATAAAAAAAAACCAAAATTTCAAACCCAAAATCCGAGCTCAACCCGAGTCAGCCATTCTCCCCTCTCTCTCCAACTTTCAAATCCTCTCCCTCTCTGTTTCTTCTTCTCCCGAAAACCACCACCAACAACGACGACGGCTGCGAGGTCGGCGACGGCTTGTTGGATCTCCCGCCGCCGACGACGTTGAAGCTATCCCGATCGACGAGGAAGAAGACGCCGCCGACTTCGCCGACGAAGAAGGCCGCCGCCGTCGCCGCCGATAGTGGCGCCGAAGTTAATATGCTAACTGCTTAAAGGGTTAGCAGATACTAACAGGGCATGATTTTGGGCCACGTCGGCCCATGTTTGATCCAACGGAGGAGATTCTCGGTGTGGTGGTGGCTCACTTAAGTGAGCTGAAGGTGGGCCAACGTGTAGAATCCGGCCCAGCGTGCGGCGGCGAAGGAGCCGAGCAAGTGGCGTGGTGGGCCCGGCTTGATTTTGGGCGGGAGAATGGAGAGGAGTGGAAAGAGAACGAAAATTGATGGGCCCATGTGATATTTATGTATGTTTGTTTGTGTGGATATTTATTTGTTCTCAGTCGATATTATTTTATGTTATGTTGATATTTCTTTGCATCATTGTTGAAATGAACTAGTATTATTCCTTCGCAAACCAATATCCATCATTAAACTAATGTTTAACGGCGGCCCAAAATAACCCAACCACCATAAACTGATTACACCAATTTAGAGTTTAAGTTTTAGGGTTTAGAGTTCTGGTTTTCAATTTGTGAAGGATTGGAATATTGTGTCTTACATCAAATTAAACACACTATCAAGTCCTACACACTATCAAGTCCTAACACATAAGGCTTGCAACCTTAGTTAGGGCTGCTCGCCGAAGGACCATTAAATAATAATAGTTTTTATTTTTTATAGTTTATTTTTTAGGGTTGATGGTTTAGGTTTGGTTTAGGGTTTAGGGTTTACGGTATAGAGGTTAGGGTTAAGGTTTCAACATAAGGGTTTGGGTTCTCTTTTAGGGTTTAAGGTTTAGTCTGGTCAGTATGAATATCTATTCTTTCCTAATTATATTGTTTTTAGAGTTTATTTAGTAGTGTACATTGTTTAGGGTTCGAGGTTAGGGTTTCTGGTTGAAAAATTAACAGCTTATACAAAGTAGGTAATATTAGATAGGAGGGACGTTTAATGTTTCAACAAATCGATATATACTTCTATGTTCTATGTCGTAACAATTTAGCTGACGTATGATAATACGAATAAAGTAGGTAATATTAGATAGAAGGGACGTTTATTTGAACCTGAGGAAATATTCCTTTAGTTCATGTGTTTAGATATTTGTGTGTAACCTTTGAATATTCTCGGCTTGGGCAAACAATAATAGTTTTATTTTTTTTGTGTTTAGTGATTAGGGTGATAGAGTTTAGAGTTTAGGGTTTAGGGTTGGGGTACAAATAGAAGATATTAGTTGGTGTGTTCTGGATACTTGTCTTTCCTAGTTGTAATACTTTTTACTAACCTACTGATATTCATTCAAAATATTTTGATATTTGTCCGGGTTGTGTGGATATTTATTTGAACCTGAGGAAATATTCTCGTAGTTCATGTGTTTGGATATTTATGTGGAACATTTGAATATTCTCGGCTTGGACAAACAATAATAGTTTTATTTTTTTAGTGTTTAGTGATTAGGGTGATAGAGTTTAGAGTTTAGGGTTTAGGGTTAGGGTACAAATAGAAAATATTAGTTGGTGTGTTCTGGATACTTGTCTTTCCTAGTTGTAATACCTTTTACTAACCTACTGATATTCATTCAAAATATTTTGATATTTGTCCGGGTTGTGTGGATATTTATTTGAACCTGAGAAAATATTCCTTTAGTTCTTGTGTTTGGATATTTGTGTGGAACCTTTGAATATTCTCGGCTTGGGCAAACAATAATAGTTATATTTTTTTAGTGTTTAGTGATTAGGGTGATAGAGTTTAGAGTTTAGGGTTTAGGGTTAGGGTACAAAAAGAAGATATTAGTTGGTGTGTTCTGGATACTTGTCTTTCCTAGTTGTAATACTTGTTACTAACCTACTGATATTCATTCAAAATAGTTTGATATTTTTTCGGGTTGTGTGGATATTTATTTGAACCTGATGAAATATTCTCTTAGTTCATGTGTTTGGATACTTGTGTGGAACCTTTGAATATTCTCGGCTTGGGCAAACAATAATATTTTTATTTTTTTAGTGTTTAGTGATTAGGGTGATAGAGTTTAGAGTTTAGGGTTTAGGGTTAGGGTACAAATAGTAGATATTAGTTTGTGTGTTGTGGATACTTGTCTTTCCTAGTTGTAATACTTTTTACTAACGACGTGATATTTCTTTAAAATATTTTGATAATTGTCTGGGTTGTGTGGATATTTATTTGAACCTGAGGAAATATTCCCTTAGTTCATGTGTTTGGATATTTGTGTGGAACCTTTGAATATTCTCCGCTTGAGCAAACAATAATAGTTTTATTGTTTTAGTGTTTAGTGATTAGGGTGATAGAGTTTAGGGTACAAATAGAAGATATTAGTTGGTGTGTTGTGGATACTTGTCTTTCCTAGTTGTAATAATTTTTACTAACCACATGATATTTCTTTAAAATATTTTGATATTTGTCCGGGTTGTGTGGATATTTATTTGAACCTGAGGAAATATTCATTTAGTTCATGTGTTTAGATATTTGTGTGTAACCTTTGAATATTCTCGGCTTGGGCAAACAATAATAGTTTTATTTTTTTAGTGTTTAGTGATTGGGGTGATAGAGTTTAGAGTTTAGGGTTAGGGTACAAAAATTTGATATTAGTTGGGTTGTTGTGGATATTTGTCAGTCTTTGTTGTAATATGTTTTACTTATTTCTTGATGTTTGTTTGTATTATTGTGATATTTGTTAGGGTTTCTTGGATATTTCTTTGAACCTAAAG